CCCGGGCCCCATGCCCAGGGATCCACACTGCTGGACCCATAATGACTTTTGAACAAGGGTCCCCACATCTTCATTTTGCACTGAGCCCCACAAATACTGTAGCCAATCATGGTGAAGGTCCACACCGCCCACATGCCCCTCTCCAGGGACCTTCTACACCAGCTACTCATATTCCATCAGGCCACAGGCAGGCAGGCAACAGGGGATGTCGAGAAGCTGTGCTAGATGCTCAGGAGACAGCGACAAACAAATAGGTCTGATCCAGGAGCAGGACATCACGCTTGGTAACGTGCAGGGGCAGTGGAAAAGAGCAAGGCCCTCAACGAGATGGATGGACACAGCGGCTGCCACAATGGGCTCAGGCAGAGGAACAGTGGTGAGGCTGGCGCAGGACCGGGTATCTGTTGTGTATCAAGTTGTTATGGGTTGGGATCGAAGCCGTAGCACCTCATGCCACCGCCTCTTGCAAGGCTCAGTTTACTCTGCTTTAAGAAAAAACCAAAAAGCTGGTGCCACAGGTCGTGAGCACTGAGTGGCATCCCAGTGACGGTGGCGCCCCGTGTGCCAGTAAGCAGTTAATACCTCCTCCTCTGCCTCCTCTCAGCGCCATGTTCCCTGATTGGGTGGCTGTAAATGCGGGGCTGGCGCAGTCATGGCCCCCAGGGCTGGGTTGGGGCTTTCTCTCCGGGGCTTGCTCACCAGCTCGCCTTTCTGTCTGGTCCTTGCCTCTGCTGCCCGAAAGTTACCCTGTGGTCCCTCACTAACATCACCATGACTTTGTCGGAGCTTCGCCACACACGCTCTTTGAGGGTTCTCCCTGGCTGACGACACTCGGAGCAGGAAACCCTGAGATCGCTCTCTCCCACAGCGTGGCCTTTAGCGTGGGACTCGGGCTGAGCTGCTCACCAGGCATAGCGAGGTGAATGGTGGGTTGGCAGGGGCAGGGTGAGAGCTGTGCCCGTCCACCCCCACTTTGTCTAAGCCCGGAGTGGTCCCAGGATGAAGGGCCTCACCCAGCTCCTTGGTCATAAGTGGTGGCATTGAGTAGACACTTGGCCTTTCCTGAGGGATGACGCGAGCGGACTGGCACTGCAGGTCACCTGTGCCTCTTTAGGTCTGTGGGCATCCTGGCAGCCCTGTTGGTGGCAGGCCTTTAACCCAGCTTGTGACTGAGGGTGGTCCTGGCTCTGCAGGTATTCCCCGAGACCACCCCCAGAGTTACCACTCCTTCATGTGGAACAACTTCTTCAAGCACATTGACATTGACCCCCAAAACACCCACATCCTGGACGGGAACGCAGCCGACCTGCAGGCCGAGTGTGCCGCCTTCGAAGACAAGATCAAGGAAGCCGGTGGGATCGAGCTGTTCCTTGGCGGTGAGTGAGGCCCTCGGTGGTGCGTGTGCAGGGTGGGGCCGGGGCCTGGGTGGGAGGAGACGGGGAAGGAGGAAGACAAGACACTGCCTGTGCAGTGACAGCAGGCCCTCTTACACTCCTGTGGGGGAGGACGGGGAGCAGGCGCCCGAGATCCCTATCCCTGCGTGAGCCCAAGTGTCCCCCTGCTCTGCACTGTGATGTCCACTCTGTGACAAGAGGGTTGCATTTGGGCTCTGGGATTCTGTCTGTGCCCCAACCTTGAGGTGTCATGAATCAGGCGTGGCACCTAATCGAACATTTAAAATCCAGTTCCAGAAGGTTCTGTCCTCATCCCCTATCTGCTCTCAGTGGCCAGTTGAACCCCAGAGAAGTGAAGTGGCTTGTCCAAGGTCAGCTAGCCAGCAAGCAGTGGCAGGATGAGGGCAGGGACTGAGCTGTCTACCCTCAGCGTTTGGCTCTTCTCTCTCCCTGTGCCATCCTTGTGCATTTCTGTCTGCTGTCACCCCAGCGGTGACTTCCCTTTCCTCCCCCTCTGTATTTCAAGGTAAAGGAGCCCGGAGCTCCAGCTTCTAACCCAAAGTTGGTCAGTGCGTCAGACCCACCAGCTGCTCTCAGGAGAAAGACAAGATAGTTGGCTCTGTGACCATTTTAGTCTCGGAGACCCCAGGGGTCAGTCCGCCTCTGTCTCCGAGAGCCAGCCGCCATGAGGCAATGGAGTCGATGGGCATGGGTTTGGTGTTTTAGGCTGTGCATTTCAGGGTCAAGGGGAGAAGGTCAGGAGTCGCTAGATGTCTGTGGGCCTCAGATAGAGCTGGGTGGAACTCAGATGCTTAAGGCAGACCTGCCGGGGCGGGGAGGGGGAAGAAGAGAAAGAGACATGCTGTCTAAGGATTTTTCCAGACATCTGTTGGGGAAGGTTTCTTTTCTTGAAACCCTGGGCCCCAGGGCCTCATGGGCTGCCCTGGCTCTCTCTCGGACAGGCATCGGCCCTGATGGACATATTGCCTTCAATGAGCCGGGCTCCAGCCTGGTGTCCAGGACCCGTGTGAAGACGTTGGCCATGGACACCATCCTGGCCAATGCCAGGTTCTTCCAGGGAGACCTCTCCAAGGTGCCCACCATGGCCCTGACGGTAGGTGTGGGCACCGTCATGGATTCAAGAGAGGTAAGGGGCCATTATAGAGCTGGAGTTAAGGGTTTTGTTTTGCTTTGGTTTTTAATTATAAGGAAAACACCTGAATATATTCTTATTAAAAATGGAGACATTGTATACAAGGCTGAAATCCCAACTGGCTCCTCCCACCATGCCTTCCTCTTCCTCAGAGGTAACCATGTACGAGGAGAATGCTTTCTGTGTGTGTTTATACATGGATGAGGCCCTGGCTTCCTGACCCCTCCCGTGCTTCCTATGGGCAAACAGGAAGCCAACCCCATTGACACTGGAATAGCAGTTCACACCTGCCTAAGTACTAAGAGGTACTGCCTTGCTCTCTGCAGCTGGTGATGGCCACTGCTGGAAGGGACGCCCCTCTGCTGCCCAGGGAGGCATGCGTTACTCCCGGGGATCAGCCAGCCTGGCAGGGCGTGGTGGAAAATGATTTTGTCTTGAACTGACTTGAGCTTTCCACCACCCCACCTCCCGCAAAAGTTAGGTAATTAGTTGAACACTTTGCAGTTTCAATTTCCTTAGCATTTTGGAAGCATATCATCTTTTCTGAGGTAAATTCAGTGAGAACTGCTACAAGTTTACTTTCAAGTTTCTCTGCCCGAGCGAGGCCCCAAGCACTTCTGTGTAAAGGGAACGCCTGTGAGCTGACTGACAGTCCCCTGGCATCTGCTGGGTGACCTGGGATCAGGAGCCAGAGAAGCCGCTGCCAGAGAGGGTGCAAGCTCACAGGGTATGGGGCCCGGGGCCGGAGACCGGGATGTACTTTGCTCGACATTGAGTTCTGAGTTGTTGAGGGGGTCCCCACAAATAGTCCCATCCTTTCTCTGCCTCGGCTTCTCATCTTTTAGGAAAGGAACAATAAGTCCTCCTGATTGAGGCGGCTAGATTGAGGGGCAGCCTCTCTGGGATCCCACCTGGGGGCCCCACATATTGCACCAGTGCTCCCAGGCCCTCCTTGGTTCACCACTTGCTACTGGAAACTCACCCAACTAGGGTGCCCTGGGCCAGGTGCTGGGATGAGAGTGCCCCACAGCGGTCTCTTCAGAGGGCTTTGCCTCCGCATCATTTAAGGCACTGGGAAGCACTCGCATGGCCCCAGGCTTAGGCTGTGGGCTCAGAATCCCCTGGTCTAACCGGGTCTCCTGCTTCTCAGGCAAGTCATTTCATCTCCCAGGGTTCCACTTCCCTACGTACTGCCTCATTGGTGTGGTAGAGCATTGGGGGCACTGCGTGTTAATGCTACAGTAGTCCTTACCCCCATTTGGGGTGGCTTGACTGGAATCCAGGAGTCTAGACTCCCGGGCCCAGTGCCTGCTCTCTGCCATCACTGCCTGCTTTTCCCTCCCCAGGTGATGATCCTCATCACTGGTGCTCACAAGGCGTTCGCCCTGTACAAGGCCATCGAGGAGGGCGTGAACCACATGTGGACCGTGTCTGCCTTCCAGCAGCATCCCAAGGTGGTGTTTGTGTGCGATGAGGATGCTACCCTGGAGCTCAAAGTCAAAACCGTCAAGTATTTCAAAGGTGCCAGAGGGAGAGAGGGGTGGGCCTGCCTTTCTTACACCGATCGTTTTCATAGGCAATGGTGGTTCCGATACAGATCAAACCCTACCTTCTCCCAGTGCCCGGTCATTCTTCCCCATACCCTGACAGTAGGGGCCCCTTTCTGCAGATGTGTTTCGATGTGGTGTGAGTGTCCAGTGATGCTCAGCCCCAGCATACCCCACCCCCACCCCCAAACTTACTTTATAATGTACCTGTTGGTTGTTTTAATGATTTTTAAGATTTTTGAAGTGTACATCATTTCACTAAAGCCTCCTCCACCCCCAGCTTGTTGGAGAAAGCCACATCAGTGGTTCTAGTCAGAGCTCCTGTTTCAGGCAGTGAGCCTGGGGGGTGGGGGGGTACTTTCTCTCTCCAGACCTTTGCCCTCCCCATGAGGCACTCAGCTCCATAAATCGGAAGTCCTTTTTTCCTGTCTTTCTAAAACAAACTACTATGTAGATTCCTATTTATTAAGAAAGTAAGTTATGAATTCACCCACTGTGGAGAAGATTAACCCTGAAGTTGCCTTCTCTCTGGGTGCCTGAACTTACTGAGGTGGGATCAGGAGAGTCTGTGCCTTTTCTCAGGGCTTGTCACTTAGGGGCCAGAGTCAAGGGGATGCGTGTCAGGATCAGAACAATTGGAGCGCCTCCTGCTGATCACCATGTGAAGTTCTGCCTGTGGTAATCAGTCCCTGTTTTTCTTTTTCTGCTAGGTTTAATGCTTGTTCATAGCAAGTTGGTGGACCCCTTGTACAGTATGAAAGAGGAAGGCCGGCCTTCTAAGAAACCATACAGTGACTAACCTGTCCTGGAACCTACTGCCAAGTACCTCATTGAGCCACCTGGGTCTTTCTGGAAATGGGCTTTAGAAGAATAGCATCGTCTATGTCTTTTATCCAGTATGGTTAGTCCAGATAAAGGGGCAAACATCTCTTTCTTGCTATACTCCGAAGGGAAAAACATCTCTGGAACTGTATCCCACAATCTTGATCTTTACCCCATGTCGATGAGGGGCATTAACTAACTTCCTGTTCTGTGGCTGGCATTGTTTACATGCCCACCACACTCCTCAGGAGCCCCTGCCGCCCCTCCTCTGGCTCCTCCTCAGGAGGGAACTGGCGCTTGGGTATGTTGCACTGCCCTGGCCCCTTTTTGGAGACCTGCTGCCCTAGATTAAGACGCAGGCTGTTTACACTCAGTGTGAGGAAGCAGTCCCTGCTCAGTGACAAGTGTCATGGAAAGAAAACGCTCCCTTACGTCCTCCCCCAACCCTAGTTGTTTTCTCTGTTCTCACAGCTGACCTTTCTGTGAACTGGGAGGACTCCTTGGGGCAGGATTTGTGTGGAGAAGGCCTTTGCAGATGAGCCCAGATTCCCAGTGGGTCCAGACACGTCAAACTCCTCCTCTCCCTCAGGGCCCCAGGGCACCAGGAGGGAGAAGGCAGAAAGCCTCTCCCCGCCCCAGAGCCCTGTGTTTTTGTTAAACGGTCTCAATGGCTCCTCATTCAGTCCACACTCAGTTAAAGGTGGGAGGGAGTCTCCTGGGGAGGAAGACACCACCTCCATTTCAGTGTTAATGTGTGGCCTAAAATTCCCACAACATCAGGAAATAGGCTGCTTTCTCCATTTATGCTTCCGCCCTTATGCAAAGGATGAGTCCAGTGCACGGCCTCCCTCTTACTCTCCCCAGTAAGCCTCTGTGCGCTCGATGCTGCCGCCTCCCTGCTCTTGTGCCTGCCTGTTTGAAGTTCCCTTTCTTTCTAGAAAGACCTTGCCGAGACTGGCTCACATCTCGTATTAGGGCTGCATTTAGTACCAGCATTTCGTCTTGAGCCTTTGTATGTGATTGTGGTGACATTCTATTTTGGTCTAAGGGAAGAATGAACTTGTTTATAATGTAATATTTTCTATTAAATTCAGTATTTTCAAATAAAATGTGTCATTTGCAGACTTCTTCCCCAAAGGACAAGAGTAGATTATCTGGGCTGATACATTTTGAAAGGGTGTATTTTAGAAACGGCATTCACACCTCATACCCATCCTGTAGGAATGCCACAGCCATCGCAACTATCTTTCAACCTCTAATCACCAGGGTGAAACTTTTTCTAAAAATAAAGCACCTGTGTGAAAAACGGCTACAAATAGATGAGCAACAGCAAACTCATGTTTGGGCTATACTAGTGATCCAACAAAGATATAACTGTAACTTTGTAATGAGTATAAAAACTGCTGGGTATAAAATTTAACAATCTCAAGACCTGATTTTAGAATGCATCTCAAGAATAGATTTGGTGCATAGAACACTGATGACTGAACACCAGATAAGTGTGGGATGATATCAAGGACATCATACACGGAGAAAGCAAAAGGTCACTCGGAAGGAAAGCTGGGAAACATCAAACTGGAAGTCAGAAGAGGCTCCAAAACTTGCTGTAGAATGTACATGAGTTCAAGAGAATGGGAGAAGTGATGCAGCAGGGCTGACCCGAACATTTCTAAGGGCAGAGTACTAAAATGCTCAAAAATAAGAAGTTAGAAAACCGAAAGGGAAAAACACGGCATTTCTCAAGCTGAAAGGACAGAAGAAAAAATTGAGGTCTCAAAGTTGACAGTACTCGAACAGCAGTGGGCTGGGCTTGGTTTTATGAGCAAAATATTGAATGACACAAAGAAAACCTGCCACCAAGTCAATGCCCACTCACAGCAACCCTAGTGGGCAGGGCCGACTGCCCCTGTGAGTTTCCAAGACTAACTCTTTATGGAAATAGAAAAGCCCAGTCTTTCTCCCAATGAGCAGTTGGTGGTTTTGAACTGCTGACCTTACATCTAGCAGCCGGGTGTGGAACCAGTACACCACCAGGACTCCTACTGAATGGCACAAGTGTAAGGTATATACAGAAAATGGTTTTCACACCAAAGAAAAAGTCTTTGATGACTGTCATGTATCCAGAAATCTGCCTTAGAAGTACAGCCAGAATGCTCATTAGAAGCAAGGATGGCAAGGCTTTGATTCATGTACTTTGTACTCATGTACAGTAGGGACCAGTCCCTGGAGTAAGGCATGCTTGATAGAATATCAGCAAAGAAGAGGCAGATCCTCAGTGAGACTGACACATGGCGCAAACATCATGACAGGATGGCACAGGGCTGGGCAGTGTTGCCTTCACAGAGCCCTAGGAGTTGGGACTACTCCATGGTACCTAGTACTAGGTATGGGAAAGTAAATGTCATGTATCCAGTTTTGTTTTGTACTGAAAATAAAAAATGAATAACATGGGTTAATATAACCTATTAAAGATGTACAAGTAGAAGCTAAAAGAAGGGCTTATCTTTAACAGTTTGAGACAGTGTTTAAATATGTTGACAGGGGTTTTATTAAGTATATGGAGTTGGGAAATTCATAACGACAATCCATCTCCATCATCCCCCAAAGTGCCTTGCTGTCTACAGTTACTTTTTTTTGGACATTTTTAAGGTGCCTAGGTGGCACAGTGAGTTAAGCATTGGCTACCAACTGAAAGTTTTAACAGTTTTAACCCACCAATTAAAATGAGGCGATCTGCTTCTGTATTTATAGCCTCAGAAACCCTATGGACCGATTCCACCTGCCCCAGAGGGTGTCTGAATTGCAATGGACTTGATAGCAGTGAATAGGTGATGGGAAAAAATTTTAACTTAAAAAATTTCTTGGGTAGGGAAACTATAGTTTTTGACTGTGACCCTTCACTTAAAATTTTTTTTCTCCTTTTGTGTAATAGAACGCAAACATACCCATAGCATCAGAACAGTGACACTATCCCAGTAAACACTCCACCAACCCCCACCTCACCTCAGTGTGGGTTTCCTCCCACCCCCACCTTCTGTTCTTTCTTCCTTATCCCCCAGCCCCCATTATTGTCCTCAGTCTTTTCCTTTGGTATGAAAACCACTTTCTTCCTTTTCCCCTTTAGATGGTGTCCTGAGATATCTTTGGGAGATTGACTACCTCTGCTGAGCATAACGTCTTACAAGTTTGTCCATGTTCTGAGGGGCTTGACAGACTTGTCATTGTTTTTTTAAGGATGCATGATATTCCATTGTGTATGTACCATAGTTTACTTATCCATTCCTCTACAGACAAGGTTGTTGGCTGTTTCTATCTTTTTGCTATTACAGAAATTGCTGCAACAAACGTTAAGTATGCATATACCTTTTCATGTTTTGTTCCTTATTTCTTTAAGTCTACTGAGAGATTGCAGGACTATATGGTATTTCTAATCAAACTTGTTTAAGCAAGCACCATTCTGTTTCCACAGTGGCTGTACAATACTACAATCCCATCAGCGATGTATGGCCATTCCAATCTTTCTACAACCTCTCCAGCAGTTATTAATTTTGCCGAGGGTCAGTGTGAAGTAGTATCTCAATATTGTTTTAATTTGTATTTCTTACAGCTAATGATAGATCAAGAACATTTCTTCATATGATTATTGGCTAGCTGGATATCATCTTTAATATCCATGTCTTGTGCCCATTTTTAAAATTGGGTTATGTTTTCTTAGTAAGATGTATTTTTATATGGATTTTGTGAAATTAGCCCTTTATGATATATCAGTGTCACTTTTTTTTTCCACCAGTCTGTGGGTTCTCTTTTTACACTTTGATGAAGTCTTCTGATATGAACAAATGTCTTATTTTTATAAGGTCTCAGTCCTCTATTTTGTCTTCTGTGGTGTGGATGTTCTCATTGTTTGGTAGTGTATTTATGCCTGTATTAAGGTCCATATTGTTTTCATTGATGATCCTTATGGTTCTAGGGCAGTGGTTCTCAACCTTCCTAATGCCATGACCCTTTAATATAGTTCTTCATGTTGTGGAGACCTCCCATCAATAAAATTATTTTCGTTGCTACTTCATAACTGTCATTTTGCTACTCGAATGAATTGGGCAACCCCTGTGAAAGGGTCGTTTGACCCCTCCCCCCAAAGGGGTAGTGACCCACAGGTTGAGAACCGCTGTTCTAGGGTTTATGTTTAGATTTTTAATCCATCTCGTTTGGTTTTGTACATGGTGTAGGGTTTGGGTCTTATTTCATTCTTTTGCACATAGAGATCCAATTTTTCCAGCACCATTTTTTGAGAAGGCTGTCTCTTCCCCACTTACTGTGTTTTAGTCCTTGATCAAAACTCAGGTGTCTGTAGGTACTTGGTTGTATTCCTAGGTTCTCTGCTCTAATCCATTGGTTTTCATATCATTGTACTAAGACCAAGCTGTTTTGATTACTGTGACTAACAGGTTTTGAAATCAAGGAGTGAGACCCCTCCAACTTTTTGTTTTTAAAGAGTTTTGTTTACCCTGTGTTTCTTTCTTTTCCATATGATGTAGGTGATTAGTTTTCCCATGTCTTTGAAGAATTTTGTGCTGGAATTTGGATCAAAATTGCATTTATATGGTGCTTTCAGTAATGTTGATATTTTCACTATATTGTCTTCCTATCCATGAAGATGATATTCTTCTATTTATGTCTCTTTTGCTTTCTTGTAGAAGTGTTTTATAATTTTCTGTTGTTTTTTCTAGATTTATTCCTAAATATTTTATCTTTTGGATAGTTATTGTAAATGGCATTTTTAAAATTTCCTTTTCAAAGTCCTCTTATTTGATATACAAGAATCCAATTCATATGTTGATCTTTTATAGCCCACTAGGTTGCCAAATTTTTCAATTAGTTCTAGCCATTTGTTTTATTGAGTCTCTTGAAATAAGAGTTTTGTTTCTTCATTGCTGATTTAGGATGCCTTTAACATGTTTTTGTTGTCTTAGAGCTCTAAGACTTCCAGGAAAATATCAAATGAAAGTGGTGATAAAGGGCAACTATGTCTGGTTATCATTAGGAGAAGAAATGGTTTCAATTTCTCTCCAATGAGATAATAGGCACTGGTTTTGCATTATATGACCTTTATTATGTTGAGGAATTTCCCTTCTATTCCTATTTTGTGAAGGGTTCTTATCTATGAATGGGCATTGTTTTATCAAATCCATGCCTTTCTGCATGGATTGTTATGATATGGTTCTTTTGTTTATATGGTAGATTATTACATTTAAAAAAATAATATTGAACCATACATGCACACCTGGTATGAATCCCATCTGATCATGATGCATCATTTTTAATATTGTTGAGTTTTTTTGAAATTTTTAGGATCTATATAACGGATACTGGTCTATAATTTTCCACTCTAGTTTTGTCTTTGGCAGACTTAAGCATTAGTTATACTTGTTTCATAAAATAAGTTTGGTAGTATATTACCCTTTTCTATATTCTGGAATAGTTTATGTATAGGATGGTATTAAGTCTTCTCTAAATGGTAGAATTTTCCAGTAAAACCATCTGGTCCTGAACTTTATAATGTTGCAAGTTTTTTAATGAGTGGTAGACATTTCATAGAAATGGAAGAAGCAGACACATGAACTCTCTTATGCCTAGCTTCATAGCATGTTTTTGAGGCTCATCTATATACACCTTGTAGAAGTAGTCTTGTTGAGTAGTATTTCGTTGTATGAATATACTGTATTTTATTTATACGGTTAAGAAAGGTTTAAATGTTAAGTAGGTATGTTATAGAAAAAAATAGAATTACATGAAAAAATACCATATATACTCCGAGTATAAGCTGACCCGAATAATCAGCCAAGGCATCTAATTTTACCACAAAAACTGCATTAAAAATGTGCTGGAAAACTCAGCTTATACACGAGTATATATGGTAATAATTTATAAATTATCAAGGGTTCATGAGGTAGGGAGGGTGGAGGAGGGAGGGGAAAAAAAAGTAAGAAGTTGATACCAAGGCTCAAGTAGAAGAAAATGTTTTGAAAATGATGAGGGCAACGAATGTACAAATGTGCTTGACACAAAGTGGATGGATGTATGGATTGTGATAAGAGTTGTATGAGCC